AAGGGGTATATCCTAGGCTCGATGAGCACAAACGTCGCCATCCGCGCACACTATCAGTGACGAGTGACCTCGTTGAGGATATGGCGGTGGTCGACTACGAGTCTGACACTCCTTTTCCCGCATGGAATGACGAGGGAGGCGAGCTGCGCCAGCGGCGTGATACGAGCCCTGCGCGTGCCTTGCGGACCCCATGTCCGTTCCCTGACTTCTCGTCTACTGAGAGATATGGTGTGATCAGTAATGACCTCGACGAGGCACAGAAGCGGCAGCTGGAAGCTGCCCCCAAGGCGGATCTGATGCGCGCCCATCCACGGTCACACATTGACCCTCTTGTGGAGTATGATTTTCGCCCAGCAAATCCCGCTGTGGAAACCAACGACGCGGTAACTCGATCGTTACGCGTCCACATCATCGGACCCGTAGCCAGAACGGATGATGAACTTGCCACACGAAGAGCTCTTCGAGCTCGTTTCTTGGTCCCGCAAGAAAGTCCGTTAGACGTTTATCGCACTCGTCTACGTACTCAACGAGGTGCTCGTGTACCTGCAATGCGAACGATACCTGTAGTGCTCGCCCCTGGCGAAAGTGCTACAGATGATGAAGCGCTCTTTGAGCGATGGGTGAAACGGCACCGGAAACTTATCTCACTGCATAACCTGCAGTTGAGCCACAAGGAAGTGGACGTGCGTGAAGAGCGACACCTCTCCTTTTGCCAAGCTCAAGGCACGCCGTCGACATCCTTCGGATTGTCGCCCTGCGAAGTATGGGTTAACAACCCCTAATGCTCCCGCGAGCTCGGTGTCTTCGACCGCAAGATCTCAGGGCCACTGCTAAAGCTCAGCTCATTGCTCTTTTCTTCCCTGGCTATTGCCGAGAAGTGCGGGTCGTCTAATGACGCGAAACGTCCTGATCGGTCCGATCAAAAGCGTCCACGGCGACTGTGCAATCTTGCCGAAGTGGCGCCTCAAACCCCCACGAGTTTTTAGAGTCGGGATATCCCCGCCACTTCACAAGATATTGGGCCTGACCCTGGTGACGACGTCGTCGTACAAGACGTTCCACGTGATTGTGGACGTTACCGTTCTCATCGATAAGAGTCGGTTGCGGCGGTGACGTACGGGTCGACCGCTGCCCGGTAACTCATGATGCTCTTCGAGTCCTTGAGGACGAGGCCCGTCGTGATCGAAGCTCCGCTGAGCGTCATGCTGAAGTAGTATATCGCTGTGCGGACGCTCTTGACGGCTCAAAGCACGTCGTGCGCCGGCTTCCTCGCGTTGAGACTACCGCGCTCTGGAGGAGCGACTCCTAGCTGTGTAGCAGGCGAATGCGTCGCTGCGTGCGACGGTGGAGCGCTTGGCGCCGTTAGAAATGGAGGTTATTGCACTCCGTGCCCAGAACCAGTTGCTGCTTCAGTTTCTGGGCGGTCGTGGGCCCGTTGGATCCGCTCCGGCGCCGACGCTTCTGCGTTCACTTGCGCCGGATCCCGATTCGGCTTGAGCAAACCACGTAAAACACTGGGTGGGTGCTCATCCGTTTAGGATGGTTTAGCGTGTACGCCAGGCCCCGTTTGGCCACGACCTTGAACGGTCCGATAAACCGTGGACGAAGCTTTGTACCAAATATAGCAGAGGCTGCATGTGTAGGCAGGTTTTTGAACTGAATAAAGCCAGGCACCCGACCTTAAAGCTTTCCACTTTGCCTCTTCCTTTGCATCTGCATATTGTTTCTGCAGGTCTTGGTTTTCAGCCATCGCATCGCGAACGTGTCG